TTTTTCTCCAATGCTTCATTCGTTTTTTCTGATATAAGTAATGAAGTGTCATCAGCATACATAACAAGGCCGTCATCATTAACATAATGTGGAAGATCATTAATATACAACAAAAATAAAATTGGCCCCAATATTGAACCCTGTGGTACCCCTGTGCCTATTTCTCTATATTCCGAATTTACTTTTCTCGTAGAACCCAAGTGGGAATAACTCAGACTAACATATTGAAATCTTTTTTTTAAATATGAAGACACCCAGTCATACGTTACTCCTCTTAAACCATAGTGAAACAGTTTTAACAACAACTTATTGTGGTCAACGCAGTCGAAAGCCCTGCTGAGATCGCAAAATATCCCAACAGGGCTCTCTCCTGCCTCCATACACTCGACAAGCCTTCCATATAGCGAAAATAAAGCTGTATTAGTTGACTTACCCGCACGAAATCCATGTTGTGTCTCTGTAAAAATCTCGTACTTATTGATAAATTTCAAGAGTCTGTCCTCAAAACAGTATTCGAATATTTTAGAGAAACATGATGGAATCGACACTGGTCTGTAATTCTCTATATTTCTATTATCACTTTTTTTGAAAATAGGTACAATTTTATTAATTTTAAGACTCTCTGGGAAAGATCCTGTAGAAATAGATAAGTTAATTAAATAACATAGAGGTTTTATAATTGAGGATAATACATATTTTAAAACAAACACTGGAATATCGTCGAAGCCCGAAGATTTTTTATTTTTTAACCTACTTGTTAATAACAACAGCAACTCATCACACGTATATGGTTGAATAAAAAATGAAGGATATTGTCGATTATGTTGTTGATACTTTGCAGAGTTTGTTACCGGAATTTTTTTAATTATCTCCTTAGGAGCATTTATAAAGTAATCATTAAAAAGCGATGCTACCTGAAATGGGTCAGAACATAAATCACCCACATTTGTTTGTATTTCAATATTTTTTCTGTAATTCGATTTTCCAGAGTATTCCGAGATTATGTTCCAGGCAGTACGCACTGGATTATCTGAAGAAGCTATTTTATTCTGATAAAACAACTTTTTAGTTTTTCTAACCAAACCTAAGTGAGCTTTTTTTGCATCCTTATATACCGCGGCAAAATCAGGATGACAATTTTTTAATTGATACAAGTCCTTCAGTTTTGTACTTGATTTTCGCACATCTTCGTTGACCCAGTTCTTGTTAAGATCGTTTTTATAAAATTTACGTAAAGGAAAATTTTTGTTATAATAATATAGAAATATATTTTGAAAATTTATATATGCATTATTCATATCGTTCATGCTATATACCTCCAACCACTCCTCAGTAAACAGGTCTAGTCCAAATTTATCCATATTCTTAAAGCTTCTTCGAAGAGAAGCATTAGTAACAGTAGTATTAGATGTATAATTTACTTGAAACAATACTGTTCTATGATCAGATATATCATTGTCAATTACGGTAATTACACTATTTTCTGTCAAATTAGTAAAAATATGATCAATAATGGTTGAGGTACCCTGAGTGACCCTGGTAGGCCACCTCACTACCGGCATCAAGTTAAAACCGCTCAACAAATCGACTAAACATTTAAAATCGTTCATACTTCTAGATTGTTTTGACGAATCCAAGTTAAAATCTCCTGTTAATACTATATTAATATGAGGGACAAATACAAAATTTAAAACGCCAAATATATTATTGAAAAATATTTCAATATCCCCACTGGGTGCCCTATAACAGTTTAAAATTATTGTTTTTGTGGTGCCTGTTTTCCATAATATCGCACATACTTCTAAATGCTTATCTATACAAAATTTATCAACATCAATCTTTCTAACATCTAAATTAGACCTAGCATAAACAGCAACACCTCCCTTTTCATATTCTTTTCTACAATAAAAAGTTATTAAGTCAAATTTATTAGTATGCTTATAAATAATAGAACTTTCGGTTGCATGCGTTTCAGATAAGCATAGAAAATTAATATTAACAAAATATTCAACATCAATTTCTATTAAGTCAATAGATTCTTGGTTAAGGCTTTGCACGTTTAACAGAAAAATATCGGGATTAAACTTCAGTCCACGGCACGAGTTTTTCTCCGTAATTGAAAAAACTTACTGATACATGCTCCCTCAGGCCACACCCCAGGATCCATGGCTGCCTTAAAATTATCTTCATAAAAAGTCACTTTAAATGATGAATATAGATGCGGATACTTTGCAGTCAGTGTTTCACATTGTACTTCAGGGAACTGGATCCTTAACAAATTTTGAAGATTAGCCGCAGTAGTATGCACGTCCAGTCTGTATACATGCAAAGCCACTAACTTTCGAACTCCTTTTATATCCGTTTCTTTATTGCTGCCAATAATTGTAGCATTACGTCTACTAGTCGCTCGATGTTTCACAGGTTTCCAATCATTCGAATCTTTAGTGGAAATTTCTTGATTAGGTATTAATTTTGATACGTCTAGAGAACCATCGGCATGCCGATTAATTGGTATCGACATACCCGAGTTAGGCGTTATGTCACTAGTGAGATTAATTATTTCCTTGCATTTTATCTCAGTTTGTACCTTCAGTAAATCAGCTGATATTTGTTTACTTTCAATAGTTGGAATATCATCCTTCCTTGTCTCCCTGTTCTGATAAGAAACAGTTTTATTTGCGGTAGGTTTTTGCACCTTTTTATTCTTCTCCTTATCCGGTTTTTGTTCGCGCGCCACTTCGTTATTCTGTGTTGTCAATATTGTATTTAAAATTTCAATATGCCCATTTAACACCTTTATTTTATCACGAAGTTCACTGATTAATAAATCTTTTTGTTGAATAATATATACGAATATCGGAGCATCCAGCTTCTTGTCCACACTGGCTATACTATCAACAGCATCAAAGAATGCCATGTCGATATCAGACTTAGTTGCAAGCTCACTATCACTATTATTGTCACAACATACTACCAGGTGTTTTTCACCGGTGTATTTAACACCAATCAGCTTTGCACAACTGGTATGAAACCAATTATCACATTTATTACATTTTACACCACTTGCTACTTTGGCTTTACAACGTTTACACAAAGAGACATTCAAACAACCATCTGGCTGATTCGCCATCTTATGTCTCACTTCTAAAGAACTTTCATATTTATTTTTTTTTTTACTTGAAAGTATAACCAATAATCCTTTAAATTTTAGTAAATAACAACGGTTTTCGTTTATCTTTACAGGGATATAAAACTTTATTAGAAATATTAAGTGGAAACTGGTAGCAGCAGTAATCAATTATTATGATTTATAATTTTTATCTCTTAATATTTTGGTGCGCTTTGGTTACTTATAATTGTCTGTTGTAAATAAAACTTTAAACTGGACCGATTGTCTACAGGGCGTTTCATGATGATAATTATTGATACCTATTTTTTGAATCTAAATTTTGTTTTTTTTTTTTTATATATGTATTTAAAAGAGATAAACCAATAATATTTTACATTTCCGATATCTTTAAAGGCTATTTTAAAGATAGTCGTGAAACACAAACTATTATTTTACATTTTGACATTTAATGGTATCTGCTGTCTTATGTTATCGTACTTTGTAGGGTTTGAGAAATAGTGCTTATAAAATATATGTTTACAGATCCCGACCTGCCCGCTATAGCATTACCTGTAGGAGAAGGAAGGAATAATTTGTGGGGTAAAACAAAATTAGCATTCAAATACGTTTACGAAAACTACTACGATCAGGCGGACTGGTTCATGAAAGCGGATGACGACACGTAAGTGAAGTATTTGTAGTAGATTTTTTTTTGTGTAATTTTGAATGAGGGTTTATATGAAGGCTACATTTAACTTATAAAAGCAAATACCGTACATTTGTTTTTCCAAATTCCGTCGGGAAAACTGATTTTTTATCTTTTTTTCCTAACTTTCATACCCCGCCGCTGGACAGGTAGTGTGAAATGGCGTCCAAAGTTCGCAAAAACCAATTTTTTTATTAAAAAAAACTAAACATTTTAGAATAAAATGTTTTAGAGAAAAGTTGTAGAACTTTTTATAACAAAAATTTTGAGCCCAACCCGATGTCAATTGATAAACAAATGTATCAGTTATTGTAAAAAAATGGCTAAAAATCGCATTCTTTAAAACTTCTATATCTTTAAAACGAGAAAAGATACGAAACTTGAAGAATATGTAGTCCCTGGCAAGTAAAATAAATGCGTTTTAGTAAAATTGCAAAATATTTGAGTTTTTGCAAAAATTGAGTTTTCGAAAAATTTTTTTTTTTTCAAGTTTCAGTAAATCGTACAGTAATGCACTTACGTGACCCATCTTGGGCTTAAAATTTTCTCTAAGAGTTGTACTTTCCTGTGCAAATTGTGCGCGCATTGCAAAATATTATAACTGGAAATATGCGAAAAATCTATCGAAACTTTCACTTCTTTTTTGGGTCGAAAAATGTAGATCTTTTTCTTGAAATTTAATCGGAATGGCATTATTGACATTTGAAAGCTAACATTGTTTCACGAATTTAAAAAAAATGTTATCCTACGATCAACAGGGGTCGAGAATTTTTTTTTAATTGCTACGACTTCATTTAGTTCTGACATGTAGTCATATAAAAGTTGTAAAGCATACAATTTTACATAAAAATGACCTCTTGACTTTTTCTTGTATTATTAAAATTAACAGAGTTAGGGAGGCTATAAGTTAAGGGAAGACTTCAGAAATTTAAAAAAATTATAAGCAGAAAAATGAATGAATTTTGTAATATTTTTTTCGATCTACTCTAAAAAATGTAACCTTTCTTTTCAGAGAAATAGATAAATTTTTTAATTTTTAATAAGAAAGTTAGTAGTAAAGTAACAATTTCAAATTTGTTGTTCACCCCCTTAAACAGAGATTTTAACGAAAACCTCGAAACAGGTTAATTTAATTTTGTCAATTTGCTTACATAAATCATATTTTTAATTTTTTTTGAGTAAATATAATTTTTTTATAAATAAAAAATATAGTTTTTCTGAAATAAAAATAAGGGTAGCAACCCCCAAACACGGAATCACTTGCGAAATATTTGTTTTTGTTTTTGTTTTGTTTCCATTTTGTTTAATTTCAAAATATTGATTAGAACCCCAGAAATTTTGAAAAAACTGTTTTGGGGGGGGCGAACTTTGAGGGTGTATTTCACCCCGTAAATATGTTTTCCGCCGATAAAAAAATACGTCTCTTTACATTTTTTAGAGTAGATTGAAAAAAAAATTATTCGTTTTCCTGCTTGTTATGATTTTTTTAAATTTCTGAAATCTTTCCTTAACTTCTAGCCTCCTAACTCTGTTAATTTTAATAGTACAAGAAAAAGTGAAGATGCCATTTTTATGTAGAATTGTATGCTTTACAACTTTTATAAGAAACTTTTTTTTCTAGCTCTTGCTCCTTTTGAGTTATCTTGAAAAACTCCTTTGTTTTATCTTTTTTCACCCTTGGCCGGGGGTTGAACAAAAAATTACTGTCACTTATTGTTATAATATACCTCAAACTAACTCATATCAAAAATTCAGTCAAGTTGACCAAAATTTCGATTTAAAGGCTTATTTAATTGGACTATTTGCAATAGTTAATGATTAAGAGGCCACAAAACAATGAACAGGTATCCACAAAACACAATAGAGAGAGGTAAATACTACGGATAGTAAGCGTAAACGTAAATGTAAAATTAATGAATTTGAAACTGGCTTAGCGCGATAGCACATCTATCCCTACTGGTTTATCTATATGGTGTCCTATAAGTAATGGTATATGGAGCATGGAGCAACAGCGGATTCTACACCAACTAAATTTACCTCAGTCCAAAAGTTAACACTTAAAAAGTTGCAGGGTGTCAAAGTGAAAAATTTGTCTCTAATATTTTTAAATAACCTTTACAAAATTAGAAAATTTAAGATATATCACAAATTTTAGGAATCGGAGGTTCTTTGAGGCGACGGACGAATTGAAATACGATCACAATTTTGTTATTATTTTGTAAGCGAGCGCCACGTGCGACACAGTGCATGTCTTTAAAATGTCATAACTGTTTTGCTCCTCAGTATATCTGCCTCTTTGATAAAAAAAATAATAATTCCAAATCAGTATGCAATAAAAGTAGCAAACAAAATACTTTTTACACACGAATAGGTACACTCGCCTTTGCACGAAATAAGGCCTTACAATATAACAATTTTTTATAAGGCATTTCTTCCATGCGTGTTCAATGCAACACCACGTTGTTCCAGATACGTCATAGTGGAGAACCTGAGGTACATGCTCCTACCCAACTCCCCCGAAGACCCCATATACTTCGGCTGCAAATTCAAACCCTTCACGAATCAAGGGTATATGAGCGGAGGGGCGGGTTACGTCCTCAGTCGCGAGGCTTTGAAAAGGTTCGTCGAGGTATGATTAAAAATTGAATTGATAAATTTGCTTGTTTGGATTGGACTGTTTTGGATTGGAACAGGAACTCTAGGAACAGAGCTATTAATTGTGCATGATTACAGACAGGCCTAGGCGATCCAAAGCGCTGTAGACGGGACAACGGAGGCTCAGAAGACGTCGAAATGGGAAAATGTCTGGAGAAATTGGAGGTCGTCGCGGGTGATTCGAGGGACCCCGAGGGAAGGGGGAGGTTCTTCCCCTTCACCCCAGACCACCACCTGATTCCCGGCCACGTGGACAAGAGCTTCTGGTATTGGAAATACATTTACTACGACGAGAAACAGGTGATTCTAATTTTTCAATATCGGTAACAATTTTAAAATATAACGAGTGTTCAAATAAAAACGTGGTCGAAGTTGGCTCTGACACATTGGACGTAGGGAGTAGCTTATACCGACCAACTTAACCTCATTTCTCAACGAGCTGTATAGCAGCTGTCAATTTCAATAACGTTAATGACTATATAACTTTATTTTAAAGAATAATCGTGATAACAATAACAAACAATTAAAGGAGCTGCGGAAAGTGTCCCCCTCCTTGTTATAACAATAAATTAAAGCAGCTGCTGAAAGTGTCCCCCTCCTTGTTCCAAGCACTTTTCACACCTGTTCCTCAAAGAATTAAAGACATTTTCTAAGATGCTCGGGGTATTGTTAATTTCACGAATCTTGTCTATAAGTCGAGCCTGCAGATGGTTTAAATCAGGAATAGGCAGTTCAAAAATAGTGTTTTTAAGGTAAGGCCACAAAAAGAAATCACACGGCGTAATATCACATGACCTCGGTGGAAATTCATGTTCAGCATTGAGACTTATTAGTCGATTTTGGAAAACTTCCCTCAACATATTCATCGTCTCGCCTGCCGTATGTGCCCTTGCGCCATCTTGTTGAAAGTAAAAGTTTGTAATTTCGTTTTCTTCCAGCTGGTTAACAAAAGGAGCGATAATTTCTTCTCTATACCTTTGCGCAGTAAGAGTACCATTAAAAAAAATAGGTCCATAAATCCTCCTTCGATTGAGAGCACACCAAACTCCAATTTTTTGAGCGTGTAGAGGGCCCTCGACAAAAAAGTTATCTGGTTTTTCAGAAGACCACATTCTCATATTCTGTGAGTTTACGTAACCACTTAAATGAAACCAGGCTTCATCAGAAAAAAAGGTGATATTATGAAGTTCACCGTAGTTGTTTAAAAACCATTCACAAAATACAGCCCGTCGCGGAAAATCAACTTCATGAAGTTCTTGCTGACAAGTTAAACGATAGGAGAACAAACGCAAATCTTTTTTTAACACTGTGTGGCAGGTACCGACTGATACTCCCACCATTTGTGATAAAACACGTACAGAAGTTCTTGGCGCATTTTCCATTATTTGTTGGACATTTTCTTTTAATTCTTCAGTCCGCTTTTTAGGTCGGCCGCTTCCTTCTTTTCTTGTTACACTGCCCGTTTCACGAAAAACATTAACACAACGCTGAACTGCACTTTGAAAAATTTTGTACTCAACAACGCCGGGAAATTGATTTTGAAATTCTATGAAACATTCCTCAATAGAATACTTCCATATTCCATCAATCTTGCGTCCATTTCTAAAGTAGGACTCTATGATAAACACTTTTTGTTCTTGAGAAAACACCATTTTAAACGCTTTTTAAAACGAAAATATTCAAATTGATAGCGGCGATATAGCGCTTTGACAGATGACGTTTAAGTTCATTTGCTATACGCTACGCCCTATGTAATGGGGTACTCGTCGTGTCGTAATACCATAAGAAACACAGCTGTTGTTGGGTTTTTGCACTAATTTATTTTAATATATTACACTAGCTTATACGTAGATATTTAAGTTACAATGGAGTAGAGAATGATGACTTGGTTGACTTGGTAATGTTGCGTTTATATAGACTAACTCATTGATTGACTGACTGACTAAAAACTGAGAACTAACTGTCGGAACTTCTCTCGTCCTACTGGTTTTAAGCTCTGGCTTTGTTTAATATTTGATAACTTTGATAAGCAGCTTCCTGAAAGTGCTTATTGATGAATGTACAATAATAATTAATATGTTTACAGTCTGAGTACATAGGAGAAGAGGATGTTTGCGGAACTATTCTAATTTGAGTAAATAATTATTAGGACTTACAGATAGTATACAAATAATATGTTTGTGCGGACGTGACTTAATGTAATTGTTTAAGATATGATTTTATCTAACATTATACTAATTATTACGTTTTTTCTTATTCTAAAATACAATAATAAAATAAAATATGACTTACAATTCTAAATTAATAATAAATGTTTTATATTTCTATTATACAGTTAGAATACATTACACCTACGTCCAAATTTTCAGAACCAACTTGACCACGTTTTTATTTGAACGCTCGTTATTTCACGTTCCTATGAAGGTTGGTTCAGATTTCTTTAATTTAAAAAGTCAATGGGCAAGACAGGAAGGCTAAATTGACGACATAGCAACCAAGCCTGGAAACTCATTATTGATTGATTGTTGACAGTTTCTTTAAATTAAGTTTCACTACTGCTCCATATTTCATCGAAACAAACATCAGACATTTAAAATATCAATCATAGAAGAAATATTCCAGAACAGAACGATTGAACTTCAAACAGATCATGTCTTTTACAAACCGTCTTCCCTTGAAGTAGTCCTTTAATGAAGACTCGCAAATTTACTATAATTTTTCTTAATTGAATTGAAATTTTTGTAAAATACTTCCCAATTATTAATTTTCAGGGCATGGAGTGTTGTTCGGACAACGCTGTGTCCTTCCACTACATCAAACCTGAAGTGATGTACATGCTGGAGTATCTGATTTACCACCTTCGACCGTTCGGAATAGCCTACAATCCAAAATTACCTGGATATCACATAGGTAGGATGATAGAGAGCGATTTGGACGAGAAAACGGACGTAAACGGAAATCAGGACGAAGACGACGTTTCATGAATTTAGGTTTTAATGCCAAAAGGCTTTTAATATATTATTTATTGACTGAACTTGTTTTATTTCCAATTTCGAATTGTAAAAACAGAGGACTATTCAAGAATTTTAATTCTGAATGTTATAGTTTTATATGTTCTAATTAAACAGTATATCCATGTCCAGAAAATGAAAAAATATGAAAAGAGTAAAATACCTTTTTGTAAAACTGTCAGTAAAAATGACATTTTGAATTAATTGATAAGTGAACTAAAAATTGTCTTTTATAATTAAATGTTGTGTCGAAAACGTGTTAAAAGTTTTTTTACACTAGTGTTAAAAATACTTATAGTAATGTGCATTCTTCTCAAGGTAATAGAAAGCTGTATTGATAAATTCAGAAAAAAAATATTATTTAGAAACAGTAATACATATTTATTCGGACAGTTATAAATTATTTATTTAGAAACATTAATATTACAACCCGAACAGTTACTTATGTTCCTTGAGAAGTAATTGCGAAGGTATTCAGTTTAACTGCACTACTATCGTCGACGTCGCCTGATGACGCTGATGTCAAGGTTCTCTAAAGCAATTGCAGCATTAGAAGAGGTACTGGTACTGGGAAGAATTCTCTCAGCAATCTCATTTTTATTTGTGATAGAATCCTCGATGTAGCCTTCAGCAACTACTGAAGAATTTTGAAAAATATGCCAAAAAGTTATTTAAAAAAAAATTCGTACACCAAACGGATTTAATTTTTAGAAAAACGTAATAAATGTAAAAAAAAATCTATATTAAAACATTATTCGAACACTCCTGCATCAACAGCCCATAAATAATTTGCAAGGGATTCGCATATAAAGGAAATAAAATAATCTTTAACGAACAAAGTTGGTATTTAATCTAAACCTGTAGTAAATTTCGGTTTAAATATTTTTTAAACTTCTTTAAATATGTCAGCAGTTCCAGCTTTTTCAGAATTCAACAGACATTTATGACCAATTAACTTTGCTATTTATCGTTTCTTTAACTGACAAAGAATATGTCTTTGAGCCGTTCGACTCTAGAAAACAATAAATATTCTAGTGTCAACGACAGGTTGGATGGGTCGCTCCTTTTGTTAGTAAAGCACTTTCTTGAGATAAACCATGTGTTCGATTCCCATTATATTCTGATTCGTAACTCGGGTAGACAAATGTAAGTGCTGGACCGTCACAGACGTATCAGTCATACGAATCAGATTTAACGTTCAGTGGAATCAGGAAATTGGAAATTGGTGATATTTTGGGCGGTCCGGTCGGTCAAATTGTGGATGTAGTGAAAGTGGTGCATGTTATATTTTTGGAATATACCAGTCCCTGAAAATGTTTTGGCTATTTTCTGTAAGTGGTTTTAGTACCTACGTTGTACACTGTGGTGCATGATTTCTTGGAAACAATTATCAATAAATAGATAGTGAACTATAATGAAATTTATTACAGTTCTAGTATCTATAAATTGTATTATAAATATTAAAAACACAGTTATTGCTGTTCACGATGAGATTTTTTATATTGAACATAGTTTTCCACGGATAAAAGGTATTCTTAAGGGATATCGCTAGCAGCACACGTTCTCAAGAAAAAACGAGTTTAATTTCATACCGTATCTACGGAATGAGTAGGTAAATAAGAAATGTAGGTACTTAATTGTTTAATGTATTTATCAAACATTATATTTTGGTAACTAAAATAATGAAGGAAATTGTATTAAAACAATTAATTAAAAAAAAATAATTAAAAAAAATTAAATAATTATAAATAAAAATTTTCAAAACGACGATCAAATATCCGCCAAAACTAAGAACAAGAAGAGTAAGGAGTAGAAGAAAATCCATGATATTTTCACTGTACTGGAGGGTAAACTAACATTGTCTAAATCACTCATTTTATTAAATTATAACGAATATTCACTAATTCAGCAAATAAATAAATAAAATAAGACCTTTGTGGACAATTTTAAAAGCTTACGCTATGTAAAATTTATACAGAAATAAAAAATACGTATTGTTTATGAAGAAAATACGGATATAGCTGTAATAGGTTTGTTTGCTACATTTTCAGTCATAAATAATTCCAATAATAATAGTGATATAATAATTATAAAGGCACTAGTCGTCTTCATGTTCTTGAAATTACTTTGTCACATTGTCCATAAATAACAAACAAATTCAAATAATTCTCATTAGTATAATTTAAACGATTTTTATTTAAATTTTCGGCAAAACTGTTACAGACATACCGATAATTTGACAACTAACTTGATAAATGCCAACTTATTTTAATTGTTTTTGGAATGTTTCTGGTCATGGCCAATTTGATAATAGGTCTGATGCGAGAAAAACTGTCAAAAATATATAAAATTGCAAATACCTCTAAAAGTACAACGCCAACCCTAACAATGCTTACATGGCTTGAAAGGAAATTTCAATCAGCATACGACAAAGTAAATACAGGGTTTTCCAATTCAGTTAACAAAGTTATAGCTGTTTGAAGTTATCAAAATGTAACAGCGAAAATGAACCACCTAGTATTAAATGTTTTAATTTGTTGGTATACCATACTTATGCTCTTTACAGGTACCAAAAATCTACTTGATATCACGGTCCTCAAAAGAATTACTAGCATCTCTAATTTTTTTTTTTAAAATTTATATCTCAAAATTGAAAACTAGGTATAGGGAATATTTAATAAAGTGACCCTCAAATTTCACGTAGAATGCGAAAATGCAATAATATATAGGGTGTCCCATATAAAATAACGAAGTTGGAGTCGACTTCCTGTATAACCGGAAGTGACATAAAATTCTAAATATTTTAGCTGTGTTGGCCCTACTGCCTTTGGTAAGTTACCAAATTTTCAGATTTATCGGATCAGTACTTTCCGAGATATCGATAGTGGCGATTCCTAGTGAGACACCCTGTATATAAATAATTCGACGATTGTCAACTAAACAATGAAGGGATTACTATTTTCAAACGATGTGAAATTAAATAAAAAAAAATAGTGTCATCGCATTGCAATTGTCAAACTAAAATTTTTAGGGGTCTTAATTGGTGTCAACAAATAAAGTTATGTTTGTGATATGGATTAGATCATCATTATGAATGCTATTCTACATATTATTTTTCTCTCTCCATCACAAAAATATTTAAATAGTGGGCTCTAAAATAGCATATTAAAATCTTCATGAGTAAACAGAAATCCTATATTTCACATGACACTTAAGTATAATGCACAGCTTTCAGAAAGACGAGCTTTGACAGAGGTTCGTAAACCTTAAAATTACTGAGTTAAGCGTTTATCGTGAGACGGAACTGAAACCAGACATGCAGTTCGGTTTGAGACATTGGAACGATTAAACTTAGGTTTCAATTCAGTGTTTTGTATGTGTAATAATAACTTGGGTAAGTTCCATAAGTTTCCTTGTTTGATCTAAGAAAAAGTTTGTGTATATAACTTTTTCAGTAATTTCAGTAATCTAAGAATACCTTTAATACCTACATTTAAAAAAATTATAGCATTTTGAGCCAAATGATGAAATTTGTTGTAATTGCACTAACTGCATTTTAATATAAAAATACCCCTATTTTCTTTTTCCTACGATTTAAAAAGGTAGCCCTATCTGGAAACCTTTCACCTTGAAGACATTTTTGTGAAATTTGCTAAATTTAAAAACTGAAAAATACAAAACAGTAAATGCATTTTTGCATGCAAATTTTATTTAATCACGTTCTAATAAATTTTTTATCCGTTACATTTTTGTAAAACATGCTTACACGTACATATTTATGTGCGTTAAGTATATGCTGCCACCTCGTGATAAATGAATCAAACATTTTAATTATACAACTGCTTTGAAATTTTCAGCACTGAAATAGGCTAATGTGTTTAAATTGGGCATATTTGATTGTATAGTTCTACAAAAGCAGCAAATTTGGGCATATTTTATTGTATACGAGTAGTTCTACAAAAGCAGCAACGTCTTTAAAACTTCGAAATAAAATTAATATTATTTAGAGCTGTACTTGTTTCACAAAAAAATGCAGTACCTGGGCATCGACATAGCACCGAATATTAAAACCTTTATATTGTTTTTAAAAAGTCAATATTTTTACATGCTTATTAACTAATATTGATACGTAGATACGTTACTAATTGTAAAAACTTGTAATTCATGTTGTAAAATAATTAATTTTGGCTTTTTAAAAAATGTACATAATAAAGAAGTAAATAAAAATATATTAAATATTAAATTCATTCACTAACAAGACACTAACAAAATTAAATCGTGAACAGCTTAAATTTAAGCAGAATCCAATCCTTTTCCGAACGCTTACATAGAGGCATCTGAAAAGTCTACCGCCAGTTGACTTCCATTGTTTGAGGTCACGCTAACTTGTCCAGCGGTGGGGTATGAAAATTACTAAAAAACGATTTAAAAAAATTCAAACCTGATTATATCTATGATCTCATACTGAATACGATAATATTTGCTCAGCACTTGATTCACTCTCGTCTATGCAATAGGAAGGGCAACTTCGAATTTTCACTTGATTGAAAAAGATGTGGTGAGTACTTTAGTACGTAAACTCACTTTTTTCGAATTCGAAAAAAGATTTTGTTAAAGTTAAAGGTAAGGTTAACATGACTAAAATCTACTAATATGTATTGCATCAAAATTTAATACGATTACTTGTCTCTAAACGATCACTTCTAAAGGGTAATCCAGAACTTATTAACAAAAAAATTGAATGTACAGGAAACTCTTACAAACACAATTTTGTAAAAAAATCAAGAACGGCAATTCGAAAATGATTTAAAAATACCCTTTTGCACGGCGCTGGAAACTAGTCCACTATAAAACCTGATCTTACGCAAAGCAAAGCATGAAATAATAGCAAAGCAAAAATAATAAATTAAATAATTTAACATACCTGATGTTACAACTGTTCAAAGTTTTGTTCACAGACGTTTAACTGTAAACACATTTGGGCCCGTCTTACCCAGTTTCTATGAATTAATATAAAGG